TAAAATCATCTCTAATACCTCCAGGCATTTGTGGATGGGATTAATGGAGAGCAAGGCTGAAAAGAGATGGAGGTCTTTTCAAGGAATGAGACAAGGAGGGATAGAACCCTGGAAGGAGCAAATGACTGTAGCCCCTTGTAAGTGAGTTAATCCTTTAGATGGTGAGGAGATGAGATGGTTAGCAGGGAGCCAAATGTAAGCTTGTGTGCTTCTGGAGGTCATGGGCCGCTGCTAGAGCTCTGAGGCATGGGGGCAGCCCCTGACAGTGGGGTCGAGCTGTTTGAATAGGTAGGCCACTGGTGCAAATGTGGGGCCATATTCCTGATCCAGAACACCCAAACTTTCTCCCTGTTTTTCATGTACATAGAGTGTGAAGGGTCGGGAGAGGTCGGGAAGATGCAGGGCGGGTGCCCGGAGGAGGGCCTTTTTAAGGATTGTAAAGGGCTTTCCTGCCGCTGAGGGTAGGAGTTCATCTTGGGGGCCCTTGGCCAGATTATATAGCAGCCTGGAAAGGAGGAAGAAATTCAAAAGTAATCCAGGCCCTGAAATACCCAGCCAAACTCAAGAAGGAGAGTATGTCATCTTTGGTCTTTGGTGTAGGTATAGATACAATAAGCTGTTTTCTGTCTACTGTAATGGCCTTTTCCCCTTGAGACATATCCCTTTAAGGCCAAGAAAGTAGGAGAACTGTGTCATCTGTTGAGTGCCCTTTGGACAAGCTAGAAGAATTTGTAGAGGTTTGCAAGAGGTGCAGAGAGCAGGATTGGATCAGAGCAAGAAGAAAGCTTGGAAGAGATCTCTTAGGATGGAGGGATCCAGGGACCCAAAAAGGGGCCATCTGCTTTGGTGGTCTAAGGGATAAGTGGGCCAGGCCTGGGCGCTATATTTGATCCAAGAGGCATTGTAGGGGAGAGTCGACTGGCAGAGAGTACACATTTCCCATGTAAGGAGGAGGGAAGAGGACGCAGAGAAGGAGGAAACTGATTTATTGGCAAAAGGGGAGTCCCTGCTAGAGCCAAAAAATCAGGAGTGCCTAAGTGGCAGGTTCGAGCTGCAGAGATTGGTCGTCACCGAATCCTGACAGTTGAAGCTCTCATCCTGGATGGAGATGGAGCCATGGGAGATCTTGGCCAAGGCTTTTCTGGACCGCTCCAAAGAGGCCAGATACTCCCAGGGTCAGAAAGAGGGGAGAGGCAGGGCAAGAGAGGGGAAGAGGAGGGTAAATGTCTCTCTAGTGGCTGAATCTTAAGGTGAGAGGACTAGGACTTTAGGAATCTACCCAAGGAAGGAATCCCTGACGGCCACCATAGCCTTAAAGGCTGTGGTGGGGTTCTTTCCTCCCCGCAGGTGGGCAAAGAGATTTGCTGGACAATAATCAACATATTTCAAGAGGGTGGATTTGGGGAACTGGGGGTGAAAAGATTGGAGGTCGGAGGCCAAGGTTTGCCCAAAGAGGTGTGGACATTCTCAAAATCCCTGAGGAAGGACAGTCCAGGTTAGTTAGAATGTCTGGTGGTGGGATCTGTCCAGGTAAAGGCAAAAAGATCTTGTGATTCGGGGGCAAGGGAAATGGAAAAGAAAGTATAAATCTATGACCGAGAAATGGGTGGCAGTGTGGGGGATCTGAGACAGCAGGGTGTATGGGTTGTGAACCAAAGGATGTATGGACCTAATGGAGGTTTTGATGAGTCATAGGTCCTGAACTAAGCCATAGGACCCGTTGGGCTTTTTTACTGCTAGTATGGAGTATTGTAAGGGGAATGAACAGAACAGAAGTACCCCTTGCTAAGAAGGTCCTGAATAATAGGTTGTAGGCCCAGAAGTGCTTTTGTGCACAGGGGGTATTGAGCAGGTTGGGACAATGTTAGGATCTTTGAGCTGAATGTTAACTGGTGGGCAGGAAACGGTGGAGGGGGTGTGGGTATCCCATACAATTGGGTCAACCAGGTCAGTATGGTGTTTCATGTCAGCCTCACAAGTGGAGCAGAATGGCCAGTCTTCTGCCAAAAGGGTCAGAAAAGATGAACAGGCTGATTCTGGGGCCTGAATGAGCCCAGATGTTGATTGTTGTACTGAATTTAGAGAGAATATCTTGGCCAAGCAAAGGAACTGGACATTGGGGCACAACTAAGATCGTCTGAGAGAATGAGAAGTTGTCTATGGAACAGAGTAATAGGGGAGTCTTTTTTGGATAGATGGTCTTTCCTCCTACCCCGACAATAGGAAAGGTGGACGGCACTGTTTGCCCCCAGAATTCTGTCAGGACCGAGAAGGTAGCTCTGGTGTCAAGGAGAAAGTCAACCTTGCACCTATCCACCTGAATCCGCACCCTGGGTTCCTGTCTCCTTATGGCTGGGGACAAGGACACAAGGCTCCTTTAATTGATTGCCATGCCCAGAAGGTCAAAGGGTTCCCTGGCCATAGGCCTCCTATAGGATCTAGGACAGTCAGAGCCCCAATGACCTTGTTGTTGACATTTAGGGCATGGGGCATGCAGAGTGTGTGGTGCGGGACATGCGCTGGCCCAATGTTCCTCCTTGCCACACTTGAAGCAGGTGCCCGGCGGGGAGGGGTTTGTCCTGTGGTGATGGGTAAAAAACCTTAGAGGCTACCGCCAAGATCTCAGTCTGGGGGGTGGCAGGGCCTTGTTCGAGCTTTTTTAGTTTGTCCTGGATGTCGGGATAGCTCTGCGAGAGGAAATATGTCATAAGGACATGACAGCCATCTGGGGTTTCGGGATCTAGGTTACTGCTGAAGGGCTTTTGTAAACCGATCCAGAAATTCTGATGGGGTCTCTTTTAATTTTTGGAAATTGACAGCCTTACATGCTGCTTTTTCAAACCCAGCAATAATACATGCGGAAAATCGGTCCCTACTCTGTATGCCAGCTTGTGTATAATCCCAGTCAGGAGTTTCTGATGCAGCAAGTGGCCCAGGAGGGAGATTGGGATTAACTCGGTGAGTTTCATCCATATGGGCTCTGGCAAGTTCCTAGACTCTGGTACGACCCTCAGGAAGAAGAGTATTAGCCAATAACATATATATATATATATATATAAATCATGGTGAGTGAGTCTATAAGCCTGGAGGACACATTGAAACTCTCAGGACCTAGTTTGAGGAGGACTAAAGGTGTCGGCTGAGTCAGGGAGAGCACCTGAGGGGCTGGATGGAGCCGATGCAGGGGTCGGCGGGGAGGTTGGTAAGGAGGGGGTTTATCTGCAGGATAGGTTGGGGTGAAAACAAAGAAGAGAAAAAGCCTCAACATAGGGGATCTCCTTCCACTTTTTTGAGTGCTCACAGGAGTTAAACAGATCTCTGAGAATTGTGGGATC